CCTACAGTCGACCGGTATCAGAAGGATGTGCGGTAAGGATGAAAGGGCCTTGGAAGGCCACGTTGGCGTTGTCGAACGAGGTTGGCCATCATGGGCCGGAGGGGTAAAGAATGCAAGAGTACCCTTGGTAAGGTTGCCCACACTCTTCGCAGGGCAAAACTTGGGAAGGAGGAGGGGCAGCATCTGCACCAGAAGCAAAGGGAGACCGAGATCGAGCAGGGGGAGAAGGAGGAAGAGGAGGAGGGGGAGGAGAGGGAGGAGGAGGAGGAGAGGGAGGAGGAGGAGGAGGAGGGGGAGGAGGAGGAGGAGGAGGAGGGGGGAGGAGGAGGAGGAGGAGGAGGAGAGGAGGAGGGCGAGGAGGGAGGAGGAGGAGGAGGACGGGGAGGAGGAGGGGAAGGAGGAGGAGGAGGAGAAGAACCAGGAGCGGCAGCAGCAGCACCAGCAGCAGCGAAGAGGCAGAAGTGCTCCTGCGCGGTCCCATGCGCCAGGCCTGCCAAGGCCCGCGACCGCCCCCCCGCCACGCCGCTCGCCGGCGCTGCTCCTCATGATACCCCTCGCCCTTCTCCTCGTCATCCTCGTTCCCCTCCTCGTCATCCTCGTCCCCCTCCCCGTCATCCTGATCCCCCTCCTCGTCATCCTCGTCCCCCTCCTCGTCATCCTCGCCCTGAGCCCTTCTCCTCATGATCCCCCTCCTCGTCATCACTCGTACCCTCCTCGTCATCCTCGTCATCCTCCCTGGACAGCTCAGATTCGCCAGAAAATTTCCTTGCTCGGCGGCACCCATCTCGTCATCAACGTCCTCCTCCCCTTCGCCAGACCTCTCTTGGACCGTGTTCTGGCCAGAATGGCGAGGCGGATCCAGCTGTGAAGACGAGAACCCCCGAGGAGAACCCCTAAAGATACAAAATTAGCCTGGCGAAGGACCCAACCATACGCAGTTGTGAATACCGCAGTTGTGAATACCATCTTCGCCCGCGCTCCCTATGTAGCCACGGCTCCCCGCCGGGGCCCGACATGCTCAGGGACACGTTCGTGGCCGTCCCGACGACGACGAGGACGGCGTCCCCCTGACCGAGGAGCAGAAGCAGGAGAGGGCTCTGAGAGCCATGAAGGATGCTGCCACGGGCGACATCGGTGGGGCTCCCATGGGGCCACGATCCTCGTGAGGGGTGTGCCGAAATGGCCCAAGGCCGCCATGCGAACCCTGACACTGGGGCTTTCGGTGGAGCTCCCTATGAGGCCACGAAACGTGTGAGGGGTGTACAGACATGGGGCAACACCGACATGCCGAACCTGCCGCTGCGGCATTCGATGGTGCCGCCTCAGACCACGAAACGTGCGAGGGGTGTGCCGAAATGGAGGGTGGAACCGCATGCGAACGCAGCCACTGGGGCCTTCGGTGGAGTTCCCTGTGGGGCCACGAAACGTGTGAGGGGTGTGCCGACATGGGGGGTGGAACCGCATGCGAACGCAGCCACTGGGGCCTTCGGTGGAGCTCCCTATGGGGCCACGAAACGTGCGAGGGGTGTGCCGAAATGGGGGGTGGAACCGCATGCGAACGCAGCCACTGGGGCCTTCCGTGGAGCTCCCTATGGGGCCACGAAAAGTGTGAGGGGTGTGCCGACATGGGGGGTGGAACCGCATGCGCCGCAAAAGCGAACGCGCAGCCACTGAGACCTTTGGTGGAGCTCCCTATGGGGCCACGAAACGTGTGGAGGGTGTGCCGAAATGGGGGGTGGAACCGCATGCGCCGCAAAAGCGAACGCAGCCACTGGGGCCGTCGGTGGAGCTCCCTATGGGGCCACGAAACGTGTGAGGGGTGTGCCGACATGGGGGGTGGAACTGCATGCGCCGCAAAAGCGAACGCAGCCACTGGGACCTTTGGTGGAGCTCCCTATGGGGCCACGAAACGAGTGAGGGGTGTGCGTGCCACGAAACGTGCGAGGGGTGTGCCGAAATGGGGGGTGGAACCGCATGCGCCGCAAAAGCGAACGCAGCCACTGGGGCCTTCGGTGGAGCTCCCTATGGGGCCACGAAACGTGTGAGGGGTGTGCCGAAATGGGGGTGGAACCGCATGCGCCGCAAAAGCGAACGCAGCCACTGGGGCCTTCGGTGGAGCTCCCTATGGGGCCACGAAACGTGTGAGGGGTGTGCCAAAATGGGGGGTGGAACTGCATGCGCCGCAAAAGCGAACGCAGCCACTGGGACCTTTGGTGGAGCTCCCTATGGGGCCACGAAACGTGTGAGGGGTGTGCCGAAATGGGGGGTGGAACCGCATGCGCCGCAAAAGCGAACGCAGCCACTGGGGCCCGGTGGAGCTCCCTATGGGGCCACGAAACGTGTGAGGGGTGTGCCGAAATGGGGGTGGAACCGCATGCGCCGCAAAAGCGAACGCAGCCACTGGGGCCTTCGGTGGAGCTCCCTATGGGGCCACGAAGCGTGTGAGGGGTGTGCCGACATGGGGGGTGGAACCGCATGCGCCGCAAAAGCGAACGCAGCCACTGGGGCCGTCGGTGGAGCTCCCTAGGGGCCACGAAACGTGTGAGGGGTGTGCCAAAATGGGGGGTGGAACCGCATGCGCCGCAAAAGCGAACGCAGCCACCGGGGCCTTCGGTGGAGCTCCCTACGGGGCCACGAAACGTGTGAGGGGTGTGCCGAAATGGGGAGTGGAACCGCATGCGCCGCAAAAGCGAACGCAGCCCTGGGGCCGTCGGTGGAGCTCCCAAAGGGGCAACGAAACGTGTGAAGGGTGTACCGCAATGGGTGTGGGAGGGGGAGGAGGGGGGAGGAGGGAGGGAGGAAGGAGGCGGGAACGCGGGGCACCGTCTCTTCAAAACGAGGACCCAACACCACAGGATGGTTGGGAAAAAACAGAATCCCTTGCTGCTCCCTTCTCAACCGGCCTCCGTCCACCTCATATTCCCCATCTTCATCATCATCATCATCATCATCATCATCATCATCATCATCATCATCATCAGCATCATCATCACCGCTACCACATCATCCTCATCATCATCGGCATCATCAGCATCATCATCAGCATCAGCATCACAATCACCATCATCATCGTCAGCATCATCATCATCATCATCATCATCATCATCATCATCATCATCATCATCAGCATCGTCATCATCATCAGCATCATCATCATCATCATCAGCATCATCATCATCATCATCATCATCATCATCATCATCATCATCATCATCAGTATTATTATCATCAGCATCATCAGCATCATCATCATCAGCAGCAGCAGGAGCAGCGGAAGCAGCAGCAGCAAAAATACCAGCACCAGCACTAACATCCGCACCAGCATCTGGAGCAGTATCAGCATCCGCATTACCATCCCAATCATCATCGGCATCCTTCTCCATAATCGCCAACATCGCCAGCATATCCGCATCCTCACCATCATTAGAAGTAGCAGTCATCCGCGTATCAGCATCAGCTTTAACAGCATCAACATCAGCAGCAGCAAAATTATTCTCATCATCATCATCAGCAGCAGCATCATCATCAGCATCATCAGCAGCATCATCAGCATCATCAGCATCCGCACCATCATCTGCATCAGCACCATCATCACATGATCATCATCACCAACAACATCAGCATGATCAACATCGACATCGACATCATCATCATCATCATCATCATCATCATCATCACCACCATCATCATCATCACCATCATCATCATCACCATCAGCAGCAGCAGCAGCAGCATCAGCATCGTCATATGCATCACCATCCATGATCAGTACCATCAGCAACGTCATCATCAACGTCATCAGCATCAGCATCGTCAGCATCAGCATCAGCATCATCAGCAACCGCATCATCATCAGCAGCAGCAGAATCGTCATCATCGTCATTGACAGAGCCAGCGTCAGCGTTGGTGTCGTTATCCTCATCATCATCAGCAGCAGCAGCATCAGCATGATCACAATGTTCGTCATCATCAGCATCATCATCATCCGCAGCAGCGTCAGCATCAGCATCAGCAGCAGCAGCAGAATCAGCATCAGCATCAACAGCATCAACCTCAGCAGCAGCAAAATCAGCATCATCCTCATCATCGTCTGTATCGCCACGCCTCGTCGTTAGCGTCATTACCATCACCATCATCATCATCATCATCATCATCATCATCAGCATCATCATCATCATCATCATCATCATCATCATCATCATCATCATCATCATCATCATCAGCATCATCATCATCATCATCATCATCATCATCATCATCACCATCATCATGATCATCATCATCATCATCATCATCATCATCCTCAACACCATCATCATCAGCATCATCAGCATCATCATCCTCATCTTCGTGATCATCAGTAGCATCATCAGCATCAGCATCGTCATACACATCATCATAATCACCAGCATCATCATCGTCAGCAGCATAATCGTCATCATCGCCATTGTCAGAGTCAGCGTCCGCGTCGATGTCGTCATCGTCATCATCATCCTCATCAGCATCAGCCGCAGTATCAGCATCAGCATCAACATCAGCATCATCATCATAATCATCCTCATCGCAAGTATCATTAGCAGCATCATCAGCATCACGAGTATCAGCATAATCCTAATCCTTATCGTCATCCTCATCATCATCATCATCATCATCATCATCATCATCCTCCTCCTCCTCCTCCTCCTCCTCCTCCTCCTCGTTGTCGTCGTCGTCGTCGTCGTCGACATCATCGCCGTGAGCCGCCGTCGTGAGTCATGGTCGTCGTTATCATCCTTTCTTTCTTCCGCACGGCCGCTGGTGCAGTTCGCACGCGTGCTAGAAAACGGTTAAAGCGAACATGAGGCCCTTAAGCTCTTGACAATCCCGAGGGCCAGGCACGCACCGTGTGACTGCATGAGAAAACGGCCGCCGTCATCTTCCTGATCCTGTTGGTTTCGCCTCTTCCTCATCATCCTCATGCTCACATCCTCCGCCCTCCCACTTCTCGGCCCCCATGTCTCCCATAGTAGCGTAGACTTGCTGGAACATTTCCTTCTTCAGCTGCGCGATCATCTCGTAGGTGCACGGAACGCCTGTCTTCCACGACGCAAAAAAGCGCACGCGGCTCGCCTTCGACAAGGCACAGGACAGGGAGCCGCGCCGAGGATGATGGCACGGGGAAGCCAGCGGGGGTGGCAGCACGTCGCTGCCAAGGGAGGGACGGGGATCATTCGCCTGCTAACGGGGGTTCAGACTTCTGTGGACCAGAGTCAGCGAAGGGCAAACTGGATAGAGAGAGAGAGAGATGTACTAGAACCATGGCGCGCGCTTCGCGCGCGCTCAAGTTCTAGCTAGGGTCATGATCATCGTTATCATTGTCATCCTCTTCCCCATCATCTTCATCGTCATCGTCATGGTCATGGTCACCTTCACCATCACCATCACAACAATCATCATGATCACCATTATCATCAGCATCGTGATCACCATCGCCATCATCGTCATCGTACGTGTCAGCATCATCATCCGCATCATCAACATCTTGTTGGTCGTCGTCGGCGTCGTCGTCGGTATAGTCATCGTCATCATCATCAGCGTCATCGCCGTCATTATCCCCGGTCCACTGCAATCTCTTACCCTCCTCCTCTTCCCGCTCTCCCTCTTCCCATCATCTTATATTCATCCTTTTCCTCGTCGGCGTTTCCCTGAAAGGAATCCCTGTTCCTTCACCTCCTTCTCCTCTTCTTCCTCCTCCTTCTCCTCCTCCCTGTCTTCCCCGCTCTTCGGTGTGTCCATCCTTGTATTCGTTCACCTACTTGACCTCCTTCCTTCTCTCGAGCCCTCTTCATCCTGCGGTCCCCTTCCCTCCTCGTCCTCAGCATCCCTCCCCGAGCCAAAGAATCAGAGGGCAAGATAATATTACAAAAACAATGTCCCTCCTCCTCTTCCCCCTCCTCTTCCCCCTCTTCGTCCTCCTGATCTTCCTCCCCCTCCTCCTGCTCCTCCTCCTCCTCGTCCTCCTCCTGCTCTCCCATCTCCTCCTCCTCCTCCTCCTCCTCCTCCTCCTCCTCCTCCTCCTCCTCCTCCTCTTCCTCCTGCTCCTCCTCCTTCTCCTCCTCCTCTCCCACCTCCTCCTCCTCCTCCTTGTCCTCCTCCTCCTCTTCTCTCAACGCACCCAATACACGGGTGCCTACTGGACAGCGTGCCGGAAGCCTTTTTGGGAAGCATTGTGGCAGTCTCTGGAGCCTCTCTGGGCCTTCCTTTGGAGTCCTTTGGGGCCTTTGTTGGCCTGTCTGAAGGCCCATTTCGGCCGTTCTGGGTCCCTCTTGGCTCGTCGTGGGGAGCTCAGCCCGTCTCGGGGCCCTCCTGGGGCCCTCTCCGACCATGTAGGGATCCTCTGGTGGCCCCCTCGGGCTTCCTGGGGGCTCTCTTGGGCCGTCTTGTAGCTCTTCTGTACCGCTTGAAGCTTTCTTCAGCCCATCTTGGAACCCTCTTTGGGGCCTCTGGGGCCCATTTCGGTAACCTCTTGGGCCGTCGCGACCGCTGGTAGAACTGAAAAGCGAAGCCCCCAGAAATATACGTTTTTACATCGGAGATGCTTGATTTTTGCCTTTGGAGGCCCTTCTCAGCGGCCTCTTGGACAGTCGTGGGGGGGTCATTTGGGGCCCTTTGTGGCCCGTCTGGGAGCCCATTTCGGCTGTCCCAAGCCCCTCTTGGCATGTCATGGATAGCTGAGCCGTCTTGGGGCCCACATGGAGCCCTCTCCGACCATGTAGGGATCCTCCGGTGGCTCCCTCGGGTACCCTGGGGACTCCCTCTGGCTGTTTTGGAGCTCTCTTATGCTGCTCGACGCTCTCTTGAGGCTGTCGTGGAGCCCTCCTGGGGGCCTCGTGGACCGTGTGGCACCGACTTGGGGAGCCCTTAGGGCCGACGCGGCCGCCGACCATGGGCCCGGGAGCCTTCACAGCGGCCTCCTGGACCGTCTTCAGGGAGACCTAGTAGGCCTTTTTTGGACCCTCTGGGAGCCCAGTTCGGCCGTTCCGGGTCCCTCTTCGCCCGCCATGGGGACCTGAGCCCGTCTTGGGGCCCTCTGGGGGCCTTCTTCGACCATGTAGGGATCCTCCGGTGGCCCCCTCGGGGTTCCTGGGTATTCTCTTGGGCCGTGTTGGGGCTCTCTTGTGCTGCTTGAAGCTCTCTTCAGGCCGTCTGGGGGCCCTCTTGGGGGCCTCTGGGGCCGTCTGGGGCTCATTTTGGGAGCCTCTGGGGCCGTCGCGGCCGCTGGTAGGATTGAAAAGCAAATACCAAAGAAATAGACGCTTTCCTATAGGAAACGCTTGATTTTTGCCTTTGCAGGGCCTTCTCGGCGGCCTCGTGGACCGTCTTCAATGCCTTTGTGGCCGCCTAGGAGCAGTCTTGGGCTGTCTTCGAGCGCTCGTGGCCCGTCCAGAATCCATCTCAGTGCGCTCTTCAGTCACCTCCCAGACAACCTGGAGCGCTTTGGGCGCCTCTTGGGCCAGCTTGGGAGCCTCTGGGGGGGTCCGGGGCCCCTTCTGCACCCTCTTGAAGCCCTCAAGGAGGGGAACGAGGGGGGGGGGGGGGGGGGGGGGGGCAAAAAGCAGCAGCATATCGTTTCCCTCGGCTGGCCGCAGCACTCTCCGCTGCACCCTCCTGCCCCTCCTGCCTGGGCCCATTCCCGCCAGTCCCTGGTGACCTCCGAACCTTACCCCCACCCACCATCGATTCTCCTGAACCGATGGGAGGTGGGGGGTTGGGTTCGGATTTCGCCACATGTTCTACGAATTCCGAGCGAGCTCTACCCCCACCGCCCATCGAGTTGCCTGAGTCGTTAATCGGCGAGGGTAGGGCTCGGATTTCGCCGCCGATCCTCCCCCGTCTCCTTCCGATTGCACGCTACGGCGCGCGCACTCTGGAACAGAAACCTCCATCCCAACCCGGGCCAGAGGCAGCAGCAGATCGTTTCCCTCAGCTGGCCGCGGCGCTCTTCGCCGCACCCTCCTGCGCCCTCGTGCCCTGGCTGTCTGGGCCCCTTCCCGCCCAGTGCCCCCTTCCGCACCGCGGCGCGCGCACTCTGGAACAGCAACTTCCGTCCCCGCCCCCACCCCGGAGGAGCCCCCGCCCCTCTCTGGGCGGGGGGACGGGTGCCGTCCCCTGCGGGCTTCTCGGGGCACCCCCCCTCGCAACCCGGAGGGAGCGCGCCGCGCGCGAGCCTGTCTGCCACGCTCTGGGGGGGGAGGGGACGGTTCCGACGGTGACGAGCACTTTCCACAAGCCGCCTGGGCCCTCGCCGGCAGACATCCGCCTGCCACCACGTACAGGACATATCCCTGGTTCCTGAACCACCTCCGCCCCCACCTTCCCCTGACGCGGCGGAGACACGCGAAGCGTCAAAGAGAATCGTTTTTGTTCACAGTAGGGAACGCGTTGCACATTGAATCCAAAATGGTGCATTCAGCCCAAGCACCCGCTGGATCAGAAAGCGTATTCCCGCAGCTCGGCAGAAGTTGCTCGCGACTGCCTCGAGGCACAACCTCTGAGCCCGAGCTCTCCTGCCCTACCCCTCCATCCGTGACCCCTCCCCCTCTCTCTCCCTTCCAAGACCTCCCTTCACATAGCACTCCTTCCCCCGTCCCTGCTTCTGCCCCCAATGCCCGCCCCCCACGATGCCTGTCTTGATGATGCTTTTGTTGTTCATCCATCTGTCCGCGATGGGTTGCAGGATCTCGTCGACACGCACGGCTGCCTGCGACCGCATGGCCTTCCCACAGCGATTTCCAAGTCGGGGCCCTAAGGCTGCGGAACTCGACCCCACCAACACGTGCTCGCCTCCTCCTCCTTCGCATCATGTTGTGTCTTGCACTGTCTGGAAGGGACGTGTCTGTACACAAGCCTCGAGTGTTACAACGACACTGCTTCTGAACGCGCATGTACATGGATGGCCAGCCTGCCCACAGCACCCATGCCACGCCGTTCGCAGGAAACACCAAGAGAAAGTATGTTTCGCATGTCGCACGGAACCATAAAACAACGATGATGCACACATTGCGCAGCACACATTGTTGGGGGCGTGTGCTCGCGAGCCAACAGCACCCGCAAGTACACCACAACAATCTGCATTCACACGTTGAGCATTCCAAATACGTATTACGTGACACACATCCCCACACGCGTCTGGTTCTATTGCTTTAAAATGATACCGGAGAAAAAAAACGAATGATGGTAGATTTAGGGCTATAGGGGTATGCGGCCATAAGGCTATAGGACTGTAGGGATATAAGGTTATGGGGCTATAGGGGTATAGGGCTATAAGGCTTTACATGCTATAGGGCTATAGGGCTATAGGGCTAAGGTTATAAGGCTATAGGGCAATAGGGCTATAGGGCCATAGGGCTATTGGGCTATAGGGGTATCAGGGCTATGGGGCTATATGGCTATGGGGCGTTAGGGCATATGGCTATAGGGCTAGGGCTATAGGACTATAAGGCTATAAGGCTATGGGGCTATAGGGCTATAGGGCTACCGGGCACCCAGGCACCCTGGCACCCGGGCGTGCCGCCGAAATCCGCGCCAAACTTCACCTAAACATATGATACCAGAGAAAAAAACAATCAGGATCTGTTTAGGGCTATAGGGCTATGGGGCTATAGGGCTATGGGTCTATAGGGCTATAAGGCTATGGGGCTATAGAGCTTCAGGGCTATAGGGCTGTAGGGCTATGGGGTTATAGGGCTATAGGGATATAGGGCTATAGGGTTATAGGGCTATAGGGCTATAGGGCTATGTGGGTATAGGGCTATAGGGCTGTAAGGCTATAGGGCGATAGGGCTATAGGGCTATAGGGCTATGGGGCGATAGGGCTATGGGGCTATAGGGCTATAAGGCTATGGGGCTATAGAGCTATAGAGCTTTAGGGCTATAGGGCTGTAGGGCTATGGGGCTATAGGGCTATGGGGCTATGGGGCTATAGGGCTATCGGGCTATCGGGCTATAGGGCTATAGGGGTATAGGGCTATAGAGATATAAGGCTATAGGGCGATAGGGGCTACAGGGCTATATGGCTATAGGACTTTAAGGCTATAAGGCTATGGGGCTCTAGGGCTATAGCTATAGGGCTACCGGGCACCCGGGCACCTGGGCACCCGGGCACCCGGGCACCCGGGCGTGCCGCCGAAGTCGGCGCCCCACCTCACCTAAGCATATTAATCCGCTAGGACCCCTACAGAGGCAAGCTCTGATTGGGGAATCAAGAACTTAGGGGTATACTGTATACCCCCATCTTTCCTCCCCATCGTTCGTCAACGCAGCATGAAGGTCCCGTCCTTCTCCGCACTAGCGCAACACCAGGCGTGCGTCCTATCCCGCTACGCAAGTTACGTGCTGGCAAATGTGCACTTAACGAGAGGGGGAGAGAGAGAGAGAGAGGAAGAAACGAAGCAAGGGACGAGAACGGAATAAGACGAGGATGAATGTTACGCCACATCTCACTAGGGCTGCGCGACACTCGTGTAGGAACGCCACGCCGATCTATCACACATATAATAGCCAAGCGGGCACCGAGGGAATGCTACAGATGAATCTTACACGCACACGCACATGTCTTCTCGGTCGTCGCGGCCAGGCGCATTGCCGTGGCGTCAAGCACCCGCGCGAAAGATCGTGCGCGCGCCCAATGGTCAGAAGAGAAGGAAAGGTCAGCAGCCCGATCTGCGGGAAAGCAGAAGCTGAGGCCAACTCGGCCCGAATTAGGACAACAAACGGCCAGCATGACAAAGGAAACGGGGGCCAGACAAACCGAGGGAGAAGCGAGGAGAGAAGAGCGGAAGCGGACAGGCGAGAGGGGGGGGGGGGGGACGGACACGGGACGACCGAAGGGGCACGAGGGACACGAGGGACACACGGGCACGAGGGGAAGGACACAAGGGACACAGGGACACGAGGGACACGAGGGACACGGGACGGGCACGAGGGACACGAGGGCCACGAGGGGCAGGAAAGAAACACTACACACATCAGAGAAAGGCAAGGCACGAACAGAGGAAGGAGGCAACCGGGGGCGAGAGGGAAGGAGGCACAACACAGAGGCAAGGGGGAGAAAGGAGGGGCCACAGTGCGGCCGAAAGCCTGCCTGGTGGGCAGCGCGCGCGGAAACCGCGTTTCGGGAGGGGGGGGGGCGGCGGGGAAAGGACGGGACGACGACGACGGGAGAAAAAGGGAACGAGAAGGACGGGGGAGAGGAACCAGGCACGCGGAGGCCGCGCCTCGGGGGGAGGGGGGGGGCGTCGGGCAGAGGCAGAGGAGGAGGCGAGGACGGCAGGAGAAGAAAGGGACGAGGAAGATGGGAGAGGAAGGCAGGCACACGGCACTGGCAAGACTGCCTGCGGGTGTGCGGGATACCCCCCGCGCGGAAGAGGTGAAGCGGACTGCCCCCCGCAGAGGGGATGGTCATAGGACGCGCGGGTGATCCGTCGCGCAGGGAGCGAACTGCCCGGGCCCCCCACAGGGGAAGAGATGGCTGTGGGCTGTGCGGGCGGCCCCCCCGCACGGGGGACGGAGGGGCCCCCCCGTGGCAAAAGTGGCAGTGGGACGCGCGGGCGACCCCACGCACGGGGAGCGGATAACACCCCGCAGAGGGGACCAGGAAGAATGCGCTCTCGCAGCGCCTGGCATGTGCACTGTACGGACCACACGTACAGAGTCCGGCAGCGCCATCGGCTGTGCGGTGTTGCGCGGCTTACCCCCCGCACGGGAAAGGCGATGCGGATCCCCCCCCCGGCAGACGGGATGGCCGTGGCACGTGCGGGCGCCCCCCCACACAGGGAGCGGAGTGCCCCCCCGCAGGAGAAAGCATGGCCGTGGGATGTGCGGGTGACCCCCCCGCACGGGGGACGGAGGGCCCCCCCGCAGAGGGGGAAAACAAAAAGAAGCACGCCAGCGGTAAAACCGGCTGAGGGACGCGCGGGCGACCCCATCGCACGGGGCGCGGAGTACCCTCTGCCGAGAGGGCCGGGGAGAGTGCGCTCGCAGCATCAAACATACGCGAGGGGGGGGAGCGGCGGGGAGAGTAGAGGACGACGGCGACAGGAGATGATGACGATGAAGGGAAGAGGTCGAGCAGCAGTTTGACGCAATACCTGGCGGCCATGTGACAGAATGCACCCGCCTCATCTGACATCGGGGAGAAGGGGGAAGGCGAAGAGAGAAGAGGACGACGACGACGACGACGACGACGACAGGAGAAGAAGACGAGGAGGGAAAGAGGCCTACGAAATACGCGTGAGGAACACAGTAGCGGCAAGATTGTGGGATGTGCGCATGACCCCCCGCACGGAAAGCGGATCACCCCCCGACAGGAAAACTGAGAAAGCGCGCTCGCAGCATCTGAGATCCGGGCGAAAAAGGGCAGCGGGAAGAGGAGGGGACGACGACGACGGAGAAAGAGGCGAGGAGGGGAAGAGGCCCACGAGCACTTGAACGCCATACCAGGCGGCCACGTGAGAAAAGAGTGCGCTCGCAGCATCTAACATCGGGAAGAAGGGGAAACAGGGGGGGGAACGACGACGACGACGCCGACGAGAGGAAAAGAAGACGAGGAGGGGAGGAGGCCTGAATCTTCACACGGCACGTAATACAGATCACAAACCGCGATTCGACATGCACGTTGGGGGGGAGGGAAAAAAATCCGGTTGAATCGGCGACGTGTTCGCGCAACGTTGCCGGATCCGTTGAGGCAGAGCAGCTACCTCCGCCACCACAGGCCCCCGATAAATCAAAGCTCGCCCTTACTTCGAGGCGCGGCATGTCAAATAATGAGCCCAGATAAAGGTGCTGCCAGACACCCGCAGCACCCTCTCCACTCCACGTTGGACGGCACCCACGCGGGCGGCACCCACGTGGACAGGATCGCGGTCACCACTGCTCCCGCCAATCCTTCTCGTGCTACTTTCCGAGCGGGGTCGACCTGCGATGGTCCCGGGGAGCCCGAAACAAGGCGAAAAGTTCGTCGCGCTGCTCAGGGTCGCGCCGCTAAAGTCCATCGTTTTGTCCACGATGGTGCTGCTGGGGTCCGTCATGATGCGCGCGATCCTGTCAGCGGAGTGCGTCATGAAGCTGGAATTTACGTCCCAAGATAGGTGGCGCAATCGGCCGGGCCGCCGCGCGGGCCGCACCTGCCGCCGCCTGGGCGAGGGCGGACACCGCCGCCTGGAGCCCGGCAGCGGCCGCCGCCTCAGCGGCGTCCGCGGCGGCCGAAGCGGCACCAGCCGCGCCCGCGATGCCCACAGCGTCAGCGGCGCCCGCAGCGCCGCAAACGCCAGCGGCGCACGCGGTGCCACGCGGCGCCAGCAACGCCAGCAGCTCCCGCGGCGCCCACAGCGCCCGCGGCGCCCGCGGCGCCCGCGGCGCCAGCGGCGCCCGCGGCGCCCGCGGCGCCCGCAGCGCCGGCAGCGCCCGCGGCGCCGGCAGCGCACGCGGCGCCCGCGGCCCGCGGCGCTGGCAGCGCCAGCAGCGCCAGTGGCACCAGCGGCGCACGCGGCGCGAGCAGCCCCAGCCGCACCCGCGGCGCCCACGGAGCCAGGGGCGCCCGCGCGCCAGCAGTGCCCGCGGCGCCCGCGCCGCCCGCAGCGCCGGCAGAGCGGGCGGAGGCAGCCGCCCGCTGCCGCCGTCGCCGCGCCGCCGCGGTGTCCGTCGTGCCCGGGCTGGAGCGCTGCACCTGAGCCAGGGGCGTGCTCGAGCCCGTGAGCCATCGGAGAGTGTAAGAGGGTCGCCGTGGTGGCTGGTGCCCCTGGCTTCGCGCGAGTTGCAGCGGAGAGCGGCCCCAGATCGTTCCTCGAGACGCCCTGCTGGCGAAGGAAGCCCTCGAGCGCTCGTCTGGAATGTCGCCTCGGCGCTTTGCTGGCCGTCCGGTATCGTGAGTGGCTGAGGCAAGCGCACCACGCGCGGTCGCACGTCTCCTTTCCGATGTGGAAGCAGACCGAAACACACACACACACACACACACACAGAGAGAGAAACGCACTTGTTTGGGCGTCGTGGCCGCACGCACAGCGACACAGCGTGGTCAGGCAATCGGAAAGCGGAACGAAACACGCAAACACACACACACACACACCTGCACACACACACACACACACACACACGCACGCACGCACGCACGCACGCACGCACGCACGCACGCACGCATGCATACACACACACACACACACACACACACAGATACACACACACACAGACGCACGCACAGCCGGACGAGCTCACAGACAGAATCAGAGGCCGCGAATAAAGCGAATGCAGCAGGCAGAGCACGTCGATACAACAGAGTAGGGGATGCATGACGTCGACACCTGAAGTCAGCGCTGGAGAGCCAGGCGGAAGAGGCAAGACGACACCCGCCCCACCCTTGCAAGCCAATCTTCCTCTTTCACATTTCGAATGAGTCGGTTGTCCTGACAGCGCCAGTGGAGCATACTCAGATTTCAAGACTGGGGTCGCGAGTCGCCGAGGATTCGGGCTGAAGATGTTTCAGCTTCAGCCACTCTCAATGGACCACTAAAGAAACAACTGTTCAAAAACAAATGTGACTATCAGGGGCGCCGCGTTGAGCATGAGAAGCTCAAAGAAACATGCATGGAAACATGCATCCAACTGCTCCTGCAATACATTACACCAGACACGTGGTTCTCGATGCTAACGGGGGAAAGGAGAGGAAGAGGCAACAACCGAGGGCATATGTGTACACAATTAAGCCGTCGTGCGTGGAGCCTCGCGTAGAGCGCACAAGAGGGACCGCGATCACACAGACGGGAACCGCGGATTCCGATTTCGTTTCCGAGTGTGCGATCCGGATTAGTGTTCTGGCAGGAGAGCCCAGAATCGAATCGGCAATTAGGATCGGCGATCGAAATGAGTCGGATCGGCAGAAATCGGCAGCCAAGTCGGGAGAAGTCGAATCGGCAGAAATCGGAAGGCTAGTAGGCCTCCATTGAGGAATCGGCATCCAAATCGGAATCCGAAGTCGAATCGAATCGGAATCGGAGGCCATCGAAATCGAATCGAATTAAATCGGAGGAATCGAAATGAACCCTGCTCCAGCGCCCCCCAAGAGGCCTCAAAGATGCCCCCCAGAGGCACGGAAGACGCTCCAAGGGGGCTTCCGAGAGCTGGCACACGGCCCCGAAAGCAGCCAAGAGGCCTCTAACTGGCCCCGAGAACTACCCCAAGAGACACAAGAAGGAATCCACGGCGCCTCTGGGGATACGCCAAGCGTTTATCCGCCACCGTACCTCGAGGCACGAAGTCGAGTGTCCTCAGGTCATCAAGTGCTCCCTGTTCCCTATATACTCAGGACTGGTGGGTAATAATACTCCAGGAGCTAAGGGCCCAAATCCTCGCATGTTCCTAGCATTCCCGCGCGCTCACGCGCGCTCTCGGGCGCGGTCGCATGGATTTCCCAGAGACCACAAGGCCCCAAGGCATGCCGGGAGGGCCCCAAGAAACGCCCAGGAGGCCTCCAAGAAAGCCCAAGAAAGTTCCAAGACGCACAAGAAAGCCCCAAGACGGTCCAACAGGCCCTAGAAGCCCCAAGAGCGCTCCAAGAGGACCCCTAAGAGGGCCCGACGAAGCAAAAAATGTCCTTGCGTTGTTCTATGCTTTTCGCGTTCTTGCGTTTTCGGGCTTCCGTGGCCCCTGACGCCCCCAAGACCACTGGGCCCCAAGACGGTCCAAGAGGGCTCCAAAACAGCCCAAGAGGCGCCCAAGATCGCCCAAGAGGGCCCCAAGACGGCCCCGAGCTGGGGCCAAGAAAGGGAACACGAACCGACCGTTCGAGCCGGCCGCCCCAAGAGGCCTCCAGGAGGCCACAAGAGGCCCCGAAGAGAGCCCCCAAGAGAGCCCCCAACAGGCCAAAAAAGAAGCCCCAAGAGGCCCCCAAACAGCCCCCAAGAGGCATCAAAAATGCCTTCAAAAGGCCCCCGAGAGGCCTCCCACTATATCCAAACGAACATAGGCCTCTTACCAGCAACCCAGACACGGTGGCGGGATGGGCACGAAGGCCACTAGATCCGCCGCCCCCTTTTGCTTTAGCAAAGGGGTGCCTGGCGTGCCAGACCCTCTAGGTTTTGGTTATGGCTCTTTTTCCAAAAGAACTCCCCCTGGGCTTCGGCCCGTCCCGCCGGCCACCCGGAAGGCGCTGAATTCCCCAATTTCCTGCCCAAGAAACGGCCGTTTCGCTCGGGACATCCTCAAAAATCGCGAAGATGGCCCAAGATGGCCTCCAAGTCCGCCCAAGATGGTCCAAGACGGCCTCCAAGACGGCCCAAGAGAGTCCAAGACGGCCCAAGACGGCCCAAGAGGCCCCCCAGAGCCCTCCCAGACGGCCCAAGAGGCCTCCAAGAGGTCCTCCAGGAGGGCCCGAAGAGGCCAAAATCATGTATTTTCCTTAGGTTTTTGAAGGATTTTGGAATGTGCTTCTTCTCGGCATTCCGACGGCTCAAGACGGCCCAAGAGGCCCCAAAAATCGCCCAAGAAGCCCCCCAAAATGGCCCAATGACGGCCCAAGTGGCCTCCAAGACGGCCCCAAGAGGGCCCCAAGACGGACCAAGGGGCCTCCAACACGCCCAAGATGACCTCCAAGACGCCCAAGATGGCCTCCGAGACGGCCCCGAAGCGCACAAAGAGGGCCCCAAGTCCCCAGAAAGGCCCCCAAGACGGCTCCCGATGGCGTCAGACGTGCCAGGAACCCACCAACATGGCCGAAGTTGGCTCGAAGCTGGCCCAAGACGGCCCAAGAGGCCCCCAAGTGGGCCTCCAGAAGGCCAGAAAAGGCCAAAAACATTGAGTTGCCTAAGGTTTTTCACGGATCTTGACAGTTCCTTCTTTTCGGCCTTCCGACGGCCCCTGACGGCCCAAGAGCCCCCAAAGATCGCCAAAAGATCGCCCAAGAGGCCTCCAAGACGGCCAAGATGACCTTCAAGATGCCCACGTGTTCCCCGAAGGCTTTCCAAACCCATTCGGGGAACACATGGTCCTTCCTGGCTTGGCAGGTCTGGCCTCAACGTTCGGCCACATAGGCGCTTCCAAAAAGGCAGGGGGCGGCGGTGATTCGCCGTAGGCGTCTTCGATCCGCCGCCCCCTTTTGATTCATCAAAGGGGTGCCTGGCGTACCAAACTATATGGCTCTTGGTTTGGGTTCTTGTCCCCCCCAAAAAAACAAACTCCCCCTGGGGCTTCGGCCCGTCCCGCCGGCCACCCGGAAAGGATCTCAAAACGCATCCGTCTTGCCTCTGTTTCCTCCAGTTGGCCCAAGATGGCGTCAAAGACGGCCAAGATGGCCCAGGATGGTCTCCAAGACGTCTCCAAGACGCCCCAAGATGGCCTCCAAGACGGCTAAGATGGCCCCAAGATGCCTCCAAGACGGCCCAAGATGTACCCAAGATGGCCTACGACGGCCCAACAGGCCCGCAAGAGGCCGCCAAGACGACCCAAGAGCCCTCCAAGACGTCCTCCAGGAAGGCCCGAAAGGGCCGAAATCATGTATTTTCCTTAGGTTTTTGAAGGATGTTGGCATTTGCGCCTTTTCGGCTTTCCGACGACCCAAGACGGCCCAAGAGGCCCCCAAGATCGCCCAAGAGGCCCCCAAAATGGCCCAATGACGGCCCAAGTGGCCTCCAAGACAGCCCCAAGAGGGCCCCAAGACGGCCCAAGGGGCCTCCAACACGCCCAAGATGGCCTCCAAGACGCCCAAGATGGCCTCCAAGACGGCCCCGAAGCGCACAAAGAGGGCCCCAAGTCGGCCCAGAAAGACCCCCAAGACGGCTCCCGACGGCGTCAGACGTGCCAGGAACCCACCAACATGGCCGAAGTTGGCTCGAAGCTGGCCCAAGACGGCCCAAGAGGCTTCCAAGAAGGCGTCCAGGAAGGCCCGAAGAGGCCCACTGGTTTTTCACGGATTTTGACATGTGCTTCTTTTCGGCCTTCCGACGGCCCCAGACGGCCCAAGAGGCTCCCAAGATCGCCCCAAGATCGCCCAAGAGGCCTCCGAAAGGGCCCCAAAACGGCCCAAGAGGGCCCCAAGACCGCCCCAAGAGGCCCCCCAGACAGCACAGGAGGCTTTTCAGACGCCCAAGATGGGCCTCCAAGACGGCCCTGGAGCATCCCAAGAGGGCCCCAAGTCGGCCCATAGAGGCCCCCCAAACGGCTTCCGACGGAGTCAGACGGACCAGGAGCCCACCAAGACGGCCGAACATGGCCCTAAGATGACCCAAGACGGCCCAACAGGCCTCCAAGAGGGCCTCCAGGAAGGCCCGAAAAGGCCAAAATGATTAATTTCCCATGGGTTTTGGAAGGGTTGTGGCATTTGCTTGTTTTCGGCCTTCCGACGGCCCGAGACGGCCAAAGTGCCCCCAACAGATCGCCCAAGAGGCCCAAGACGGCCCCAAGAGGCCCTCATGACGGCCCAAGAGCCCTCCAAGACGCTCAAGATGGCCTCCAAGACGGCCCAAGAGCCCTCCAAGACACGGTCCTTCAAGAAGGCCCGAAAGGGTCCAAATGGCCTCCAGACGGCCAATATGACTTTCAAGATGCCCACGTGTTCCCCGAAGGCTTTCCAAACCGATTCGGGGAACACATGGTCCGATAACTTGGCAGGTCTGACCTCAACGTTCGGCCACACAGGCGCTTCCAAAAAGGCAGGGGGCGGCGGTGATTCGCCGTAGGCGTCTTGTCGATTCATCGCAGGAATGCCTGACGTGCTGGACCCTCTCGCTTTTGGTTTTGGTTCTTTTTCCAAAAGAACTCCCCCTGGGGCTTCGGCCCGTCCCGCCGGGGTCCCAGAAGGCCGCGTGAACCACCTCAGCGTGCACAAAAAATTCCCCAAGACGGCTCAAGATGGCCGTCAAGATGGCCATGTTGGCCCAAGATGGCCTCCAAGATGGTCCAAGATGGCCTCCAATTCCGCCCAAGATTGTCCAAGACGGCCTCCCATACGGCCCTAGAGAGTCCAAGACGGCCCAAGACGGCCCAAGAGGCCCCCCAGAGGCCTCCAAGACGGCACAAGAGGCCTCCAAGAGGTCCTCCAGGAGAACCCGCCGAGACCAAAATCATTGATTGTCCTTGGATTTTTGAAGGATGTTCGCATTCGCTTCTTCTCGGCTTTCCGACGACTCAAGACGGCCCAAGAGGCCCCCAAGATCGCCCCCACAGCACCCAAGAGGCCTCCAAGATGGCCTGAGGACTGCCCAAGAGGCCCCCAAGACGGCCCCAAGAGGGCACAAAGACGACCCAAGAGGCCTCCAAGACGCCCAAGATGGCCTCCAAGACGGCCCTGGAGCACCCCAAGAGAGCCCCAAGTCGGCCCAGAAAGGCCTCCCAAACCGTTTCCGACGGCATCAAACGGGCCAGGAACCCACCAAGATGGCCGAAGTCGGTTCGAAGCTGGCCCAAGACGGCCCAAGAGGCCTCCAAGAGAGGCCCGAAAAGGCAAACGAACACTGATGTTCCTTAGGTGTTTGAAGGATTTTGACATTTGCTTCGTTTCGGCCTTGCGACGGCCCGATACGGCCCAAGAGCCCCCAAAGATCGCCCAAAGATCGCACAAGAGGCCTCCAACATGGACCCAGAACGGCCCAAAAGGCCCCCAAGACGGCCCCAAGAGGCCCCCAAGACGGCCCAGGAGGATGTTAAGACGCCCAAGACGGCCTCCAAGAGGCCACACCGTCCACGACTGCCCAAAAGGCCCCCCAAGGTCGCCCCAAAATGGCCCAATATGCCCCAAGATGCGCCCAAGAGGGCCCAAGAAGGCTCCAAGACTGCCCAAGAGGGCTGCCTTCCAGGCCTCCCAGAGCGCTCCAGGAACGCGCCAAGAAGGCTCCGAGACGCCCCCGAGGCGATCCAAGGGGCCCCGAGTCGCCGAATGATTTATCCAAAACGTCCATGCTGGTCTCCAGACTGCCCTAGACGCCGCCGAGAAGCCCCAAGAGAGCCGCAAGAGGCCCTTCAAAGGGGCCCCAACAAGCAAAAATCGTCCCACTTCCTTTGAAAAAAAAACAGCATGTCCAGCATAAACGACGCTCGGAGGCTCACAGCGTCCAAGACTACCCAAGAGCCCCCCAAGATCGCCCCAAGATGGCCAAACATGCCCACAAGATGCGCCCAAGAGGGCCCAAGAAGACTCCAAGACGGCCCAAGAGGGCTGCCTTCCAGGCCTCCCAGAGCGCTCCAGGAACGCGCCAAGAAGGCTCCGAGACGCCCCCGAGGCGATCCAAGGGGCCCCAGTCGCCGAAAAAATCCTGCAAGACGCCCATGCTGGTCTCCAGACGGCCCTGGACGCCACCGAGAAGCTCCAAGAGAGCCTCAAGAGGCCCTCCAAGAGGGCCCCAACAAGCAACATTCGTCAAATTTGCATAGGGTAACAGACGGCGTTCGGAGGTTCACAGCGTCCACGACTGCCCAATGGCCCCCCAAGATCGCCCCAAGATGGCCCCACAAATTTGCTGAGCACCCCGCTCACCCATAGCTGGGTTGCGTCTGGAACCACAGCGTTGGGCGCGCGCCGAAGCCTGCGCCGCGCCGAGAGGGCGCGGGCGCCACGAGGCCTCGGTGCCGGTCGCAGCACGACCCAGCAACGGGCGAGAAACGGGGCGGGCACGGGCGGGTCTAATCCCGAGCGCGGGGCGCGCGCCCCAGGCACATACCAACCTGCGGTACCTGCGCGCGGCCGCGGCGGGCAGCGGCCGCGCGCGGGGGCGCGCGGGCCTGCCCACGTCGCCTGCGGCGCGCCGCGGCGCGCGCGAGCCAAGCGGCGGCGCGGCGACTGCTCGCGCCTGCGTCTGCCGCGCGCGCCTGGGGCCAGCGAATGCGCGCGATGGAACCAGGGGCCCAACTCGTTCCATACACACAAATTCGCTGAGCACCCCGCTCACCCGTAGCTGGGTTGCGTCTGCAACCACAGCGTTGGGCGCGCGCCGAAGCCTGCGCCGCGCCGAGAGGGCGCGAGCGCCACGAGGCCTCGGTGCTGGTCGCAGCACGACCCAATGCAACGATGCGACCAGCGCCGTGCGCCGCTCACCCGCTGCGCACGCGGAGCGCGGCGCTCGGGCGCGCGCCGGGACGTCGCAGCCACACTAGACTAGGTGTCTGAGCTGCCGTCGGAGCTGCCCGAGCAGTCGGACGCGGCGCTGCGCGCAGCCGCTACCCTCTCACTTTCGACCCGGACGCGGTCGATGTAAGCCAGGTAGGCGTTCGGCGCCCAGCCTCCACGTTCCTTCGTTACTGCGGTCGGTGCACCCGCGCGATCGATGTCATCGGCGTGCCCCCTTGTGCGCGCGAGAGGGGCGGAGGGATGTGCGCCCCGAGCCAAGCGGGCGGTCGCGGGTCGCGACCTTCGTACGTCGCGGGCGCCGAATAGGTCGGCACTGTCCACGCCTATCCTGGACAATAGGGACCGAAGGATACGCCAGGCATCCGACCCTAAGAACTGCGCGAACGGCTGAGCGCCTACTGCTGCGCCGCGCAGCAACGGAGGCAGCGCGTGCACGGCGCACGTCGCGGCGCGCGCGCGGCACCAACACCTCCGGCGGAGTATCGACGCGCACGGCTTGTTCTTCCGCCTTGGCAACCAGAGGAGCGCCTCGTCTGCCGATATGGCCAACTCCGCCTAGCGCGTTCGGCGCGTGCGCGGGCGCCCCAGCGCGCGCGTTTCCAGACGGCGCGGCCCGCCGCGCGGCCGCGCGACAGAGTGTTGCCGCACCACCGGATGAGTAAACACTCGGATGGTAGGCGAAGCAGGAATATGTACGCAATTAGAAACATGGTGGATGCCACCTGCGCGACCGCTGGGTTGACTGGCGAACGCCGCGCGGCGGCCCCGCCTTTTCTTCTTCGCTGCGACCATGTAGGCCAAGTAATTGCGCAATCATAGCGTCACGAACGAAGCGCGGTTCGCGTGGCGCGCGTCCGCCGCGCCGCACAATGGCTGCCTTGGCCTTCCTGGGCGCGCGACGCGCGGCCTCACGCGCGCGGTGGCGCGGGGGGCCGACACCGGAGCAGCCGTCTGTTGCCGAAGGCGCTCGTGTCCAGGCGTAGCACTTCGCACGCTGTCTGCACGCGCCCGCAATAATTCCGGAACGTGCCCGCGCAAGAGAAAGTGCCCGACCAGCACAACAGATCGTCCTGGGCGCACGCCGCAGATTATAGGAGTCTGGGGGCCGCGCGGGAGGGGTTGCGCGGATTGGTCGCGCCTCGCTGGGCGGCAGCGCGAGATGCCGGTCACGTCCGAGTACGTCTATCGCGAAATTGACCAAGCACCGCACACCGCTCTTCAAAGATTGGCGGGTGGATGGTATAGTGCTGACCAGGACCTCCAATCGGGCCCGTTCCGCCCATTCGCGCCGCTCCCCCTGCGAGGGCATGGAGCACGCAAGCCACTGCGCGTTGCGACGCGGCCCCCCTGGTACGGGTGGCGAGGGCGGCCCTGGCCGCGCCAACGCTCTTTCAAATCCCGAGCGCGGGGCGCGCGCCCCAGGCACACACAAACCTGTGGTACCTGCGCGCGGCCGCGGCGGGCAGCGGCCGCGCGCGGGGGCGCGCGGGCCTGCCCACATCGCCTGCGGCGCGCCGCGGCGCGCGCGAGCCAAGCGGCGGCGCGGCGACTGCTCGCGCCTGCGTCCGCCGCGTGCGCCTGGGGCCAGCGAATGTGTGCGATGGAACCAGGGGCCGAACTCGCTCCATACAAACATGCCCCCAAGACGCCCAGGAGGACCCAAGAGGGCACCAAGACGGCCCAAGAGGGCTCCAAGACAGCCCAAGACGGCCCCGGAGAGGGAACTCGAAATGAAATTTGAAGCTATCCGACCCCAGGGGCTCCTCCGAGACCGCCAGCAGGCTCCCAAAAAGCACCCAGAAGTCCCAAGAAGCCCACGAGAGGCCCAAAATCAGACCCCCCGGGCACCCAAACGGCCCTGACGAGGCCTCAAGAAACTTCAAAACTGCCTTCAAAAGGCTTCCGAGACACCTGCCAGGAGACCCCAACACCGCCGCAATCACAACGAGCCCTCGGGCAAACGGAAGAGTTGGGGCTGTATGAGAAGACGCTCCAAAAAAAAACGAAAGGCCTCCTACAGAAGCATCTTGACGACAACCCTCATCGGCTCCAAGCGTGCCGCGAAAAGCCTCCGATACGTTTCTCCTCCTGCTAGTTTTCCTCATTATCCCCCTTTTCATCCCTCTTCCTCCTTCTACTTTTCTGCTTCTCTGCATCATCATCTTCATCCTCCTTCCTTCCTCATCATCTCCTCTTCCTCCGTCGCTTCCTCATTGTCCACCTCCTCTTCCTGATCCTTCTTCTCCCTGTTATCCTCCTCATCCCTCCCTCCTACGATCTTCCTCCTTCGTATCCTCCTCCTCCACCGTCTTCACCTCATGCACGTCCTCCTCGGGTTTCATCATCACCTGAAGTCCAACAAAGCACCACACAACTAGCCGCACCGTGAAAAGCGACCGATTCCCCTGACAACTCCCAAGAAATCCAGACGAATCGCCCCAGCATCATGCCCCACGCAACGCCTCAGAAAACAGCCGACGCCCCTGCAGCTCAACACCGCCAACGACCACTCGGCCAGTCGACGCAGCGGTGACCAAAAATGGGCCGGCGGAATGAGCGAAGCGATTGAATACTCAAAAAAATCGTCCCCTGACTATTGTTTGACTATTTTTGAATATTCCCTCTGTAAAGGGAGAGGCCCGACTTAAGGGTACCGTTGGAAAATTGCTCATCCTAACTAAGATTGCGACTTGACTGTACTCGCGCCGTCGAGATCTCCACGACGAAGGTGTGATGCCCATCCCTCCTCCCTCCCTCCTCCCCCTCCCTCCCTCCCTTCCCCCCCCCCTATTCTGACGTGTACCGCATGCCCAAGTCCACATCCTGTGCATGTTTCACATATTTGCTGTCTGGCTGATGGACCGATTGCTCGTCCACGCCCTGCACCGGCCCGAGCAGCCGACAGGCACGCTCGCGTGGCCCGCTCGGCAGCCCGCCCCCCCAGCGTGCGAGAGCAGCGAGGCGCTTCGTCCGACGTTCGACGATGACCCCCCCGCCCCCCCCAGGACCCCCCCGGCGGGCGGAGTCCGTCTCGGCCATGACTTCGCCCTCGGCCAGGGGCGCCGAGGCCTGCCCCGCTCACCGGCCGCGCTCGGCCGCTGGTCTCCACCGCCCGCGTCGGCCGGCAGCAGCGTCAGGGAGGAGGGGGGGAGGTACTGAGCGACGAAGCGTCAGGGAGGAGGGGGGAGGTAATGAGCGAGGTACAGTGGAGGCCAGTCCACAAGAGACCTTCAACGAGAAACCCAACCCTGAGACCCCAGGGCGTCCACCGTTTTCTGGCGTGGGAACGTCACGCGGTCCATCGCGGTCCCAAGAAACACAGGGCACCCTGGAGGCAAGCAGGGTGTCTCGTGGCGTGGCTTTCCACTGTAGGGGGGTTGCAGGTGGAGGGAGGACGAAAAGGCAGGAAAAGAGAGGAGGGCGGATGAGCAGGCAGGAGGGAGGACGGACTGTCCTCGGCGTCGTGCTCGTTATCATCATCATCATCATCATCATCATCATCATCATCATCATCATCATCATCATCATCATCATCATCATCATCATCATCACCATCATCATCATCATCATCATCATCATCATCATCATCATCATCATCATCATCACCACCATCATCATCACCATCATCATCATCATCATCGTCGCCTCCCTCGCCGTAATCACCCTCGTCGATCATGTTCGCAATCAGTTTGGGTGACGTAAGATTATTATGCATCATTGTCCTCTTCCTGATCAACACCACCATCGTCATTGTCGCTCGTCGTGATCATTATTACCATTACCACCATAATCATCATCATCATCATCATCATCATCATCATCATCATCATCATCATCATCATCATCATCATCATCATCACCACCATCACCATCACCAGCAGCATCATCACCACCACCACCACCACCATCATCACCACCACCACCACCATCACCATCACCATCACCATCGCCATCACCATCACCATCATCATCAGCAGCAGCAGCAGCAGTAGCATCATCCTCATCCTCATCCTCATCCTGATCCTCCTCGTCGTCGTCGTCGTCACCATCAGCAGCAGCATCTTCATCGTCGTCGTGGTCGTCGTGGTTGTCGTGGTCGTTGTGGTCGTCGTGGTCGTCGTGGTCGTCGTGGCCGTGGTCGTGGTTGTGGTCGTGGTCGTGGTCGTGGTCATGGTCGTGGTCGTGGTGGTCACGGTCGTTGTCGTGGTCGTGGCTGTGGTGGTGGTTGTCGTGGTCGTGGTCGTGCACGGGGTGGTGGTGTTCGTCGAAGTCGTCGTCGTCGTTATCGTCATCGTCATCGTCATCATCGTCAGCACCATCATCATCATCATCATCATCATCATCAGCATCAGCATCAGCATCATCAGCATCATCATCATCATCATCATCATCATCATCATCATCATCATCATCATCGTCATCATTTTCAAAATCATCATCAGCAGCATCATCATCGTTATCATCATCAGTAGCATCATCATCAGCAGCATCATCAGCATCATCAGCATCATCATCATCAGCATCAGCATCATCAGCATCATCACCCTCATCCTCATCATCATCATCAGCAGCAGCAGCAGCATCGTCATCATCGTCGTCTTCAGCAGCAGCAGCAGCAGCAGCGCCGTCAATGTCATCATGATCACCAGTACACTCCTACTCATCGTCCTGCTCGACCTCATCCGCCTTCCTCCTCCTCCCTATCCTCCTCCTGATCGACCACCTGCTCCTCCTCCACCTCCAACATTCCCTCCCCCCTACACTGCATCCCTCCCCGTCCTCTCCCTCTCTCCCCAGTTCTTCTCATCCTCGTCCTCATCCTCCTGAGCGGGAGGAGCACGGCGAGTACAAGCACGAGGACGAAACGAAGAAGAGCGTCAAGATCAAACCATGGCTGACATCGGAGGCCATATCATCAATCTACCCCCAACGACACCATCCTTGAACGACCACCTCCAAAGAATCCAAAGAAGCTCCATGCAGGTCTACGCCAAGCAAGGCCTGGAAACGCGCACTGGCCATACACGAAACTCAAACAGGTCCGTGCACGGAGCCAATTCTTGGGGAAGCGGCCAGAGGAGGAGGCCGAGGGAAGCCACCTTCTATCGGCAGTGCGCCCAATGGAAAAGGCCGACGGGCGGGCCTTCTGAGAAGGCTCAGAAGGCTTCTGGCGTTCTCTGAAACTGTGTAGGCATTCTCGGAAGACACACGGGGGTTCTCAGAAGTCCAGACGGTTTCTGAGAAGCCCTGGCGCCTGCCGAGAAGGCCTGCCCCCGAAGAGTGGATCTGAACTTGTCGCATGGTGGCATCCATATTCTTGTCCCGAACCCTGCGGAGAGCTGGCAGCGCTCAGACGGTATTGTCTCGGGCTACATATGTGCGAATCGCAAGAAGAGCCGATCGATACCATCGTCACGCATCGCTTGATACTGATGGTCCTCTCGCTTCCCCCCTGGGCTCGCCGCTCGCCGCCCATTCAAACAAGGCACGGGGCTACATCGAAAAACGAACAATGACACATAGGTCCGCGCGGACCTCCGAGTTTGCATGCTTATGTCCTCATTCGTTCCCCGATCTCAGAAGTGCTCGGCGCCATCCCACAGGCTTCGAAGCTGGGTCCTCGGGAGGCAGCAGGGACCCCAAGAGAGGCGCAGCGCCCTCTCCAGAAAAGACGCCTCCCACGCCATGCCGCCCTCTTGAGATCGACCTCCCAGGTTGAAGACCGCACAACCCATCCCCACCCCCACAAAAGGCCCCACTCCCGACCTGATGATCCAGGGGGTCCTGGCTCGGGGTGAAAGCCGCTAATCAGCTGCTGCTCGTGACATCCACCCCCCGTGTTATGTTTACGTTGGCCAAACGGCATGTTCGAGGTCGCCGCCAGCACCAAGGGGCGGCGGTCAAGTACAGTCACGGGCGCAGCGGCGCCGAGGGGAGAACTCGGGTGGGGGGGTGGGACAACCAGTCTTTCCTGTGGCCCACGCGGCTGCGGAAGATCGCGGAAGAAGCAGACGCGCCGGAGGACGAGAGATGGCAGCGCAGCGCGTCACCGATGACTGCGGAGATGTGGCAGGCAAGAGAGTACCTACGCTTCACATTCGCTAGTCCGCAGTCCTGTCCCTGGCTTCCCCCCGCGCTACTTTAACGATGGCCAAGCAGCACGTTCGAGGTCGCCCCCGGCTCCAACGCCAATGGGACGAAGGATCAAAAGGGCGCGTCCACGGCGCTGCGAACAAGCGCGCCCGCATGCCTCGGGGCGAAAATCATCGACGACCCCGCGCGCGAGCAAGCTAGCTGCAACATCGCCGCCCGACACGCACAGTCGAGCGGAACTCACAGAGCGTCAACCACAGCGAGAAAACATGGTCGCCGACCCCGAGGACGCAAACACATCGTTCGCTGCTTCCCGCCGGACATCGTTCGCTGCTTCCCGCCAAAGTGTAAGGCTGGCGGCCCCGATGTTTGTCAATGGCGCCCGAATAGTTCGGCTGTCCGCGTCGTCGGCGTGTACCGATCGAAAGGAGGGCCACCCGCCGCAACCGCTGCATCCCACACAAAGATCCGCGCATATACCTTTTATCCGTACCACACAGGCAGAAGGCGTAAAACGTGCACAAATCCACACGATGCTTCCGCCGAAGTGTTCCTGCAGAGAACGCCCACCAACGACTTGCACAAGGTCACGCTTGCACTGCACAAACAGTTCAAAGAGGCAACAGCAAATTCTACGCCAGAACGGCGATGACACACCACCATTGTCGCTGGTGCGCCAGCGCATGGCAGAGCAAACGGCGCAAGAGCAAGCGATGGACATTTTGCCTCGGCAGCCCTGGCGTCCAGCACCTCGCGGCACTAAGCCAGATGCCTTTTCAAATGGCATCCTGGTCGCCTTGCCATGGCACGCCTGGTACCTGGTGCGCCACGACCCACTCGCTCACCCAGCCGCGCTGCGTAGACGCGCACCGCACACCGCAGCAACCCAGCGGATGTGTTTCACACTGCACCTCAGCGGGGAATCAACGAGGAGCTCGCGCAAGCTCATGCAATCATGCGCAAGTGCGACGCTTGCGCCACCAACGTGGACGGCACTGTTTTACACAAGAAACGGCCCTCAACAATAGTGTCGGTTAGCTGGAGCACGTCGGCACTTTGAGCTCGGGCCTCGCCCATAGCTTGCAGAACCTCGCAAGGTGGGGCGCCATCTGGATGCATCGCAAAGCACCGCCTGTCCCTACTCAGCGCAATCCTCATGTCTAGTGCACTGCGCAGGTTGTCCAGCCCCCCACACGTCGACCAAGCCCCAGCGGGCACGGGGGGGCGCGCGGCACCCTAGGGGCAAGACTGAACTCCGCGAGAAGCCGCGGCGGCACACGGGCAGCCGAGCGCATTGCCGCTGCCCCCCCGCACGGCGGTGCCCGCCTGCCCTGCGGGACCGCCCCAAGCGAAGCCCCCGGCCTCGAAGACACTGGGGCGACCGGCGAGCCAACCAGCGCGATTGCAGAAACGAGGCCGGGCGGGGCCACAGGCGCGGCCTCGGCGGCGGCCCGGGGTGTGAGCGCCTGACGGGTGGTCTGTCGGCGAGCTTCGGCGGCTTTCACCGCACTGCGGCGGACCCATGGCGACGACCGCACTGGCGCGCAGTTTCGTAGGCGACGAGCTATGTACCTGGCGGCCCCGCGGGGCCCCCGGTCGGCAGGAACGAGCCCGTCCCGCTTGGCGGGCCTGATCGTCCCTTCCCTCGCCGCCGGCCGAAGAAGTGAGCAAGGAGAGGGGGGGCGGGGGGCAAAAAGGAGGAGGAGGAGGAGGCAGAGGAGGAGGTGGAGGATTTCGGAGTCGGAGTCGGAGGAGGAGTAGGAGGAGGAGAGGAGGAGGAGGAGGAGGAGGAGGAGGAGGAGGAGGAGGCCGAGGAGGAGCAGCGGCAAGAGCAGCACGGGAAGCCGCGGCAGCAGCAGTAGCAGCAGCGGTGCGATCGTTTAGCCACGAGACACTGTCCTCGTGTGGTAGCGCGACATGTCCACGCCCAAAGCCGGCGCAACCTGTACCACGGAAGACCCGACTGAGGCAAGCGC